TTGGCCCGCGTGGGAATTTTGCTACAACGCAATGTGACTCAGTTGGTCTGGGGGAGACGGCATTGCATTTCTAACAGTCCCCCAGGCCTCCCTGTGCTGCTGTTTCTCCTCCTTCTCTGTCATCTACTTCTCCATCTCCTCCTCTTCCTCCTCCTCCTTTCCTTCTCTTTGTTCTTCTCTATCATCTTTTCCTCCCTTCCTTCTTCTTTTTTAACAGTTTGCTTTCTTTCCTTCCTTCCCCCCTGTATTTTTTGGAGAAAGGGTCTGGCTGTGCAGTTCAGCCTTGAACTTCCTGTGTAGCCCAGGCTAGCCTAGAACTCCGGGCGATCCTTCTGTCCCAGCCTCCAAATGCTGGGATTATAGTGTACACTACCACATCCAGCTGTGCCACTGCTCCTGAACCCCACTAGGGGAAAACCAAAACTCAGAGAAGCCCAAACTTCGTTCCTTCTATTTATCTGGTCCCAAGCCCTGCTCTTCTTTAACATCATGATTGTAGTCACACTGGCTTTCTCTGTTCCCAGGGTGCCAAGTTGTTCCTAGTTTCAGGACCTTTGCACACAATGTCCCCACATCCTGGCATCCTGGTGGGGGTCCTTTGCCGGTGCTCTGCACGGCTTGCTTCTTTCTTTCATCTCAGTTTGGTGCTCAACCAGTCACAGAAGACTTCCCTGACCACTGTGTAGAGTGGAGTATTTCATTCCTTGGGGACTATCAGGTATTTCCCCGCTTCTTGACTGAACCTAGCACCCCTGAGTGCTCAGCTTCCTACCTCCCCCCTTGTCTGTGTTTCTCAAGGGTGAAGACTTAGTTCTGCTCCCTCCTAGCCCACCTAGGGTCTGGCGCAGGGTAGGCACCCTTTTCTTTCTTTCTTTCTTTCTTTTTTTTTTTTTTTTTTTTGTCATTTTGAGCAAGGTCTCACTGTGCAGTTCAGGCTGGCCTTGAGCTCGATTTGTAGCTCAGGCTGGTCTTGAACTCCCAACAAGCCTCTTGCCTCAGCTTCCCAAGTACGGGAATTACAGGTGTGTGCCACCATGCCCAGTTTAGGTACCCTTTCCATGCCTGTGAGGCCTGTGCATGAACACACTCCCATGGTTGCCTCAGTGTTTAGGTGCATCAGGGAGAAAATTTGAGGGTGGTGCCCAAGATGAGGGGTGGGGAGGGAGAAGCAAATGCTGTACTGTGGGTGGCACAGAAAGTCAGGTCTGGAGATGATGGTGAACCTGAGAGTCGCCAGGTAGTAGATTCATCTCAGGAGAAGAGACTCATTCTGGAAGGTGGGGGAGGAATACATGTCAGTTAAATGAGTAACAAGGCATTGGGAACGGTGTAAGAACAGTATTAATCAGTAAATATGTCGAACCCTTATTGTATGGTCACTGCTTTACCTAAGTATCTGTTCATCCTCGCAGCATGTTATCTGTGTTTTGCAAGTGAGAAGCTGTAACTCTTGAGATTGAGAAACTTGCTCAAGGTCATAATGACCTGCCCAAGGTCATAGAGCACTTCAGAGACCGTTGGCAACTCCATGCCCTAAAACACATAGTCAGAGTTGTAAATGTCATACTTCCTGAGCCCATCCCGGGTTTCTGCTGTGACATACCACCTGATACACTGTGTGTTTGGCTTGCTCAACTGTCCCCGTGGGTAAAGATGTTGGTTTGGTTACTGCTGTTTTCTAGAGCCCCGTACAGGCCTGCCACAAAAGTAAACAGTAAATGCAAGGCTGGGGTTGGTTGCACGTGCCTCTGGTACAGGCTCTCAGGAGACTGAGGCAGGCGGTTCACCATGAGTTCAAGACCAGCCTGGGCTATGGTGAATTCAAGTCCTGCTTGAACCACATAGGAAGATCCTGTCTCAAAAAACCAAAATAAAAAAGTAAAACAAAACCAAACACCAAATAAATACTGAATTTTAAAAGGACGAGTGAAAGATTTAAAATTCCTGTTATTTTATTTTATTTACCTTTAAGAAGTAGTTCTGTAAACAAAAGCCTTACATCCAGTCCAGAAGGTGGAGATCCACCTGGAATGGACTAGGATGTGCTCTTCCCCATTAGAAGGAAGCTGTGAGCCAGGCCTGGTGGTGCACCCCTGTAATCCCAGTACTTGGGAGGCTGAGGCAGGAGGATCACTGCAAGTTTGAGGCCAGCTTGGGTTACACAGTGAGTTCAAAACCAGCCTGAACCAAACAGGAAACCCATCTCAATATTTCCCCCCTCCCCTCGCCATACACACACACCAAGGAGGCTGTGTCCACACAAGGTGGAGTGGCTACACAGAGGTGGGCAGAGAAGACCAAGGGAGCTGACATTCATCCCACCTGTAGTCCTGATGCTACCACGTGGCACAGCATGGATGCCACAGGCTGACAGCAGCCTTTCTCAGGATGTGGCTTCCTGTACTAACTGGCCCGAGAGGCAATTACAAGCCACTGTAAATACATGAATAGGCACTGACCAGGAAATCTCTTGTAAATCCAGTTAGAACGGCTCAGTGGCTAAAGCCTGGCAGTTCTCACTGCCAAACAACAGATGTTCCAAATCTGCCAGGCGGAGCTGTGCTTGGTCCCTTGAGTTAGTTCTCTGGCCCCCTGGACTTCTGCTGTGCCATGGTTTCCGAAGTGTTATCTAAAATGCATTAGCAGCATTAGCACCACCTGAGAATTTAGGCCCACTATAAAATAGGAGCTGGGCATGGTGTCACATGCCTGTAATCTCAGCACTCAGGAGGCTGAGGCAGGAGGATTGCTGTAAATGTGAGGCCAGCGTGGACTACACAGTGAGTTCAAGTTCAGGCTGAACTACATAGTGAGACCCTGTCTCGAAAACCAAAAATAAAACAAACAAAAAAGGAATTGGAAATAAAAATTATAGGGACAGAGCCTCTCATTCTAGGGATTAACAAGCTCTCCAGGTAATGCCCACACATATTTGAGTGTGAGAACATCAGTTTAAGTTTCTCTTTCAATGTAGTTACTAAGCTGCTGCAAGAGGTGGCGCAGGGTTAAGGTAACAGGGTTGAGGGATTCATAAATGTGGTCTAGGGGGTCATGTTGTAAGTTGAGTAAGGTGTAGGCAGTGATGTGGTTTTTTGGGGGGGGTACTGGGGATCAAATCCAGGACCTTCACACTGAGCTACACCCCCAGTCTTTTATTGCTTGAGTGATTGAAACAGGGTCTCACAAACATGCTAATTGCCCAGGCTGGGGTGGAATTTGTGATCCTCCTGTACTGGGATTACAGGCACGTGCCACCACCCCTGGCTAGACTAGTGATTCTTAAGGGGAAGGGGAGGGACCCTCCAGTACTTAAAAAACAAAACAAGGGGCTGGGGATTTAGCTCAGCGGCATAAGCGCCTGCCTTGCAAGCAGGCAGTCGTGAGTTCGATCCCTGGTACTGATAAAAATGAAAAAGACCAAACAAAACAAAACAACCTCCAGCACAACGAGTTAGTCTGGAAAAGCATTTTTTAAAGTTATCATCACTATGCAGTCCAGGCTATCCTTGAACTCACGATGTAGCCCAAGCTTCAAATGAAGGATCCTGCTGGCTAAGCCTCTCAAGTGCTGGTATTACAAGTATGTTCGCCTGGCTTTCATTTTGAAATGTCAAATGACATTAAAGGAAGATGTAGCACAGTTTGGGTCTCAACTCCTGTCCCCTCCTCATCCTTAAACCACAACCCCGTTACTGCCCATGGAACCCATTCACACCCAGCCCTGCAGAGTGTGGAGGTCTCAGCTGGCCTGGGAGATAAAAGCACAGCATAACCCAAAAAAGCTCAGGAAACGGTGTGCAGCTTTGTGGAGGCCCAGCTACGTGCCACGCTCTGTCTTGTATTTGGCTCTGTGCAGAAGGTGCAGGGACAAATCTGCCAGCCGTTTCTACAGTCAAGCAGATGACAAGGGACGATTCAGAGGGGAACCATTTTTTCTGCTTGGTAGAGATGCCAAAACTATAGCGCTATGGAAGCTTTGACCAGAGCTTTGGTTTTTCAGTTTTGCCAGATAGTAGACCACCTGAAGCGAGCTGATGGCAAGTTGGAGTGAGGTTTGGGTGTGGGGTTAGAAAGCACAAATAGCAGTTCCTAGCAGTATTGCTGCCATATTAACTGACTGCTCTGTCCAGGCCTTATTTAGGAGAGCTGAGGTTGACAGTAACACTTGCTAACATTTACCCAGGGACTAGGGTGCCAGTAGGCAACCTATATGCTGTACATACGTTGACTACTCTTTATAGAAACCCTATGACATAGGTCCTACTGCCACCCCACTTGACTGATGGAGAAATTCAGACACTCTGAGGTCACACACTGTACCAGGCAGCAGGGGAACCAGACTGTGAACCTGGGCAGTCTTGCTCTACGGGGATCAATGTGCTGTCCTGCTGGCCTCCTGAGTGGGGAAGATATGCTTATTTTGGTGGGCATATAAGACACAGAAGAAAGTCCCCTAGTCGTTTTCACTCTTGAACATTTCCTTGAATGCAGACAATCTAGACTGGTGTGCCACGCGAGGGTTTGTGTGTGTGGCGGGGGATGGTTTGGTGCATGCTAGGCAAGCACCCTGCCACTAAGCTGTCTCCCTAGCCCGGAAAAAATTCTTTAAGCCCCTTCCCACTAGATGGCGGCTCCTAAATCCACACAAAAATTCATCAGCCTCCATTGTGCCGGGCTTCAGGGCTCTGGGAGTTAACTGTCTTCCTCTGTGTAGGGGGCCAGGGCCGCTGCTCCGCCCTATCCGGGGGTCGCGGGAAGCCCGAGGCCGTGTTGGGGGCGGGGAGACAAGGCTCCCCAGTCTCCCAGCGGCGTGGGGAGGAGCCGGCGCGGAGCACCCCCACCAGGCCTGCAGGCGGGTCCTTCCGCCCCGCTCACTCGCCTCGGCTGGGAGCGGAGATTCCCGTTACCGCGCGGGGCGCCGGCCAGCGGCAGGTGCGCGGCGGGACTACAAGTCCCAGCATGCCCGGCGGCTCTGACCCGGCCCCCGCCGCCGCTTAAAGACTCCGGCAGCCGCAGCCGTCGGGTCGCCGCGGCTTTCGCTTTGCCGCCGAGGCTGGGCTGGGGGAGGAGTGGGCTCTGCGGCCGGCTCTGCCGGTGTCCTGCTAGGGCAGCGCCGAGAGGCGCTCTGCGTGCAGCCTTCCCGGCCCAGGGCTCCCCTGCCGAGGCGCCCGCGCCCCCGGGCTCCCCGCCTCGGGCCCCCACGGCTCCGATGCCGAGGCATGGATAAAACGGTGCTGCGTGCGGCTGCGATGGGGGAGAAGAAGGAGGGCGGCGGCGGGGGCGCCGCGGCGGCCGCTGACGGGAGCCCCGGGGCCGCGGCCAGCCGGGCGCTGCAGCAGTGCGGGCAGCTTCAGAAGCTCATCGACATCTCCATCGGCAGCTTGCGCGGGCTGCGCACCAAGTGCGCAGTGTCCAACGACCTCACTCAGCAGGAGATCCGGACCCTGGAGGTAATTCGGGGCCGTGGCACCCGAGGAGCTACCGCAGTTCACTCCTTCCCGAGTTGCATCCTGCTGCCGGGTCGCCTCCTAGGACGCTTCCTTTCTTTCCTCCACTCGCTGATGCGGCAGCGTGGGGACCCCGAGCCGGCGCTCACCTTGGGCAGGGTTTGGGGGTAAGGAGTGGGAATCAGGATGGAGGAAGGAAGAGCCTGTATGCGGGGGTTCCCTCCGCGCCCCATCTTCGCCCACACCCCATGTCCAGGTTCCGCAGGACTCATCGTCCCACTGAGTCACGCGCTGGACTTTTCCCCGCGTGGTTGAGCCCAACACCGCGGGCCAGAGTGACGGGAGAGAGTCCCCGAAGTGTGAGCGCAGGCCCGCTGCCCTCTGCCTTTCCCTCACGCCCAGCTCTCGGGCTTGTGCCTTCCTTTCCTTTGCTCTGAGTCTTGTGTGCCTCTTTTCAAAAAGTGTTTGCTGAAATTGCATTTTTCCTGCTCAGGCGTTTGGTGCATTCCTTTAGCGATGCCACAGCCGTCACTGCTTAAAGTCTGATCACCCACTAACTACCCCTACTCCCCACAAACGTTGGGTTTTGGCTTAAGGAGGATTATGCTGGGCAAGGAAACGTTTGGTGAGATGAACTACTTAAGGGTTTCTAGTGGAGGTGGCCTGGAGTAAAGAAGAAACAAGATATGTGGGCTCTCCTCTCTCAAATTATAGCGGGGTAGTGCAGCATTAAAAAGTCTTAGGCAGAAGGGTTGGATTCTCAGAATGGGAAGCGCCCTGTCCCTTACACAATAGAGGGGAAACTAGTGCGTTCCCAACTTGCTTTTGACTGGAAGGTCTGTGAAATTACAGGGACCAATTTGGAGCTGCCTTCCTTCCATCTTACTGGCCACATCAGGGCTCTTGTAGGTCTGGGGATGTTTTGTTTTATTAGATCCTCTATTTCTCCCTCTCCCCTTGTTATTGCTAATTGCTTCTGCCAGCTGTCATAGGGCCAGCCAGTGATTGCCATAATTATGACAAGACTAGTCCTTCCTCCACACACACCACACGCCTGAGTCCTTGTTTGATCCATAATGCTTAGGGTGACTCTCCCATAGCTTTATTACTTTTTTAAAGCTGCAAAGCTAGTGACGTTAGAAGAATCCAATCAGTATTGGCATTATATATGTAAAATGTATTATATGTATACATTTCTACAGTTGCTATAGCAGGACCTAGGTCTGTCTGTCTTTCTTTCTTTCTTTCTTTTTTTCTTTCTTTCTTTCTTCCTTTCTTTCTTTCTTTCTTTCTTTGTTAAGGCTTTTCTTAAAAAACAAACCAACAAAGCCCTCCTAATGAGCCCTTTTGAATAGGTACTGCTGTTTTCCAAGTGAAATACTTTCCTGAACAGCCCAACAAAGTTCAGTTTTTAAGCCTGTGTGACTTGGGTTCCAGGAAGAAGGTCATTGTCCAGCATTGTGTGTCTGGATGGACTGTACTGCTGTTGGGCTGAAAATTCTCTGGCTTGGCCTCTATCAGTTTTATTAGATCTTCTATTCAGAAAGCTCCCAGGGTGTATGTAGCAGAATCCTTTACTGTTGATTCTCTGCAGAGGGCTTTGTCCTCCGGGTATCCTGACCTCCAGAGTTGCACGGTTTGACAAGGGTGTGGCACCCTGACATCCCACAGCTGGAGGTAACTCAGTGACCTCCCTGTGGAGGGTGTGTTTCAGCAGTCATCTTGGGCAGCTGGGAAAGTCATCCAGGGCCCTAGTGCTGTTGCAGTGTGTATGGGACCAACACGCAGCCCCCGTTCTTTCTACTGGTGTGGAGTCAGGGTCACCCTGCTCCTTGAAAAGGCAGGACCTGGGTTGCTTACTATTTGGGCTGGGAATTTAGACCCTTGGACCTAGTTTCCTGGGGACGCCACCAGCTAGTTGGGTGAGTCACTTCATCCTGGGCCTCTGGCTTTTCTCTCATCTGCAAAGTGGGGAGGTTGGAGTGCAGAGGGCTCTTATAGCTCTATATTCTGCAGTTTACTGAAGGGTTGAAGTAAACATTTGTGATCTCTTTTATCATGTCTGTATTTTAGGATCTTTCTTTCTTTCTTTTTTTTTTCTTTGAGATGTGATCTTGCTATGAAGTTCAGATTGGCCTTGAACTCACTATGTAATATTGCCCAGACTGGCCTCGAACTCCTGGCGATCCTCCTATCTCAATCTTCCAAGTGCTGGGTGCAGGCATGTGTTGCCACGCCTCGTTTAGAACAGTTCTGAAATCCAGATTTACTGGACTGATAAGGCAGGAGGCAAATTTATTACTATAAGAATCTTTTTTTTTCCTTTCCCCAGTACTGTAGATTGAAACCAAGGCTTTCACACTGAGTTATATTCCCAGTCTTTTCTTTTCTTTTGTTCTTTCTTTCTTTCTTTTTTTTTGGTACTGGGGATTGAACTCAAGACCCTGTGCTTGCCAAGCAGGCACTTACACTGCTGAGCTAAACCCCCAGCCCTGTTTCTGCTTTTTGAGACAGGATCTCACTATGTAGTTCAGATTGGCTCTGGATTTGCTGTGTAACCTAGTTTGGCCTGGAACTCCTGCCTTAGCCTCTTAAGTGCTAGAATCAGAGGGGTGCACGACCACATCTGGCCCCAGCTCTTTATTTGTTTGAAACAGAATCTTACTAGGTTGGCCAGGCAGAACCTGGACTTGAGATCCTTCTACCTCAGTCTTAACCATAGGAACAGTGTGTTGAACAGGAAGCCTATAGCTTTGAAATTAGTCCTGGTTGTGCATGTGACCTGGGGCAAGTCCCATGACATCTGTCAAGCTCCTGGTCTGTAGAATGAGGGGGACCTCTTACTCCTATGACCATTTCAGTCAGTTCCTTGGGTGTGTACTGTGACTACTGAGATTCTGCCTATGAACTGTCCCTGGGGCAGGCCCAGAGCCCTTCACTCCCCAGGGCATGTTTCGGAGGAGGGATTTCTACAGCTGGCTCTGAGTTCCTAGAGGTGGATGACACAGGCCCGGAAGCATCCCAGCGAGCTGGTTGGGTGTGGTTCCCCCTACCAGCAGTGAAGTGGTCAGGCAGGCAGGACAGTGGCAGGGCCTATCTGCTTTCTTTGCTCCTCTGTAGGCTCTTTCTGAATCCTTGGCAGGGTCCCCAGACATGGAGCTTGCAACACTGGATTCCTGGCGTTTGAAGAGGGGTCTGGCTATGGAGCCTGACGCCATGCAGAACCTTAGTACCTCAGCCCAGTCTGGCCCTCATTAAATGAGCACTTGGTGGGAGTAGCAGCATGTGAGATGTCCTTGGAAGGCTCTGACCAGGCCCAGACTGCTGTCGCCCAAGAGCCCAGATTGTGATGGTGAGCAGGAGTCACGCTGCCTGGCAGCCTGTGCTCACTATCCTCTGTGAAGCCCTCCAGCTTGGATTGAAAGGAGCAGAAGGAGCCAAGTTTTAATGTTGTTTCCTGTGTACCCAGTGGTGTGCTGGTCCCTTCTCGATCTCATAGGATTTCCTGGAAATGCACCAGCCTTCATCAGAACATACACATTTTCCCTCTCTAGATGAAAAGGGGGAGGGAGACACAGCCAGAAGCCAGAGGTGAATCTGTAGAATAAGGTGTGGGGCTTCTTCATCCTTGCAGAACCTGTGCCCTGTCCCTCTTGGAACCTCCTGGGTGTCTGAGAACTCAATGGGGCAAGTATAGAGGTTCTCATTCCCTAGCTGTGTATGCCAAGGGACACCTGGCCTGCTGCACGGCCGGGCCACCCCAACCCTTTCCATGCTTTTGTCCTCTGTGTGTGCCCTCTGTGCCAGTGCTGGGAAGACAGGAGTGTGCAGAAGCTGATGCTCATGTTGCCTCATGGAGATTGGCTTTTTGGATACGTTGTGACTTTTCTTTGCCAGTCTGCTAACCCATCTCAAAAGCAGGCTCTGCTCCAGCCCATCTCACAGCCTGTGCTTGTGCAAGCTGACCTAGAGAGGGCTTCCCCGAAGGGCTGTGCTCATGAGGCTTTGCTGGAAGGGACACTGGGGAACTCTAGTAAGTAGTTATAGTCTCTAGGCTTTGGCTGCCTCCCTGAGCAGTTCCCCTGGAGCCAGGAGGGGCCCAGAGCGCCCTATATTTCCTTGGTCCTTGGAAGGTCGTAGAGGCCTAACCCTGTTCCTCACTGGGACTGCAGAGGTCAGGATCCTGCTGTGGGGAGACCTGAGCTCTCTGTGTTGTCCCTCCACACTCCAGCATCTGGCTCACAGCACTGTTGAATGTGGGGAGAGTTGCCCACATCCTTAGCTCAGGTAGACAGCAGTACAACCAGTTCCATGGGAGAACTTTGAGGGTGCTCAGGAGTGGGATTCTCTGCATTTTGAATCCCGTTGAACTTTTGGCCAGCCAGGCCTCCTGATGCCATGGAAAATATTCCCAGAGTTTTGGCAACATCTCCCAAATCACATGTCCCTGGCAGAACTGAGACTGAAACCTGGTTTTCTTTTCTGACCCAGCTGCCCTCATGGTGGGGCAGTGGTGGTGTGTGCTGTTACTATTGAAGGCTGTAAAAGTTCGCTGTCACTGGTGCGTGGTGTTCCTCTGCCTCGGTTTTAGCCCTGTGCCTGAGCAACTTCAGTTGTTCCTGAACAGACAGAGTTGCAGCGCCGTCCCTTTTGGTGTCCACTTGGACCTTAGGCAGACCTACTGTTCAAGTGTCCCCCTTCCTCCTTTCCTTCCACGGCACTAGGGATTTAACTCAAGACCCTCATTCTGAACTACATCCCCCACTCCTTTTTTTTAAAAATTTTGACACAGGGTCTTGCTAAGTCAGTAGGTTTCCCAGGCTGGGCTCAAACTTGTGAATCTCCTGACCCAGCCTCCCAGACTGCAAGGATTATAGACACGTGTAACACAGCTGGCTTTAAGTGTTCCTTGGAGGAAGACTGGACAGGGACCTGCAGTTTCCAGAAGCTATGAGCTAGGGGAGGACTGGGGGTGCAGGAGGAGGCCCTAGATGGTTTAGGTG